TTTCTGATTCTAAATGCGGCCAAGACATACATATACATAGAACTATATGTTCTGAAATAATTAATGAAGATATATTCTGAAATAATTGATATCGGCGACCAAAAGTATAGCCTCATTCTGGATGAGTCAACTGACATCGGTGTCCTGAAATACTTAGGAATAGCAGTAAAATATTTCAGTAATTCACAAAATAAAGTTCTGTCAACATTTCTGGCATTAACATCTATTACAAAAGCTGATGTAAAAGGGCTTGCTTCAGAAATCATAACCATATTGAATGATAATGATTTAAAAAAAAAGACGTGTGGCACTCGGGGACTGCCGCGGTAAAGCTATTGCATAGCATTTTGTATCAACTTATGCAATTATAATTATTTATTTATTTTATTTATGCAGTATTTCTTTTTCTTTGATATTAATTCAAGTTACTTAGGTTAATCCAATCAAATTCAACCAGATTTAACCGAACCCGCGTTATAACGAACTCACTATTTGTGAAAAATACTGTATCACCGGACCGCGTCGCAAAAAACTCAGGTTCGCGCAGTACATACGTCAGGGCGGCCGTACGGCAATTATACAAGACGCGCAACTACTCAGTTCCACGCTCCACGGCAAGATTTGTCACTTATTATTTATTGTCCAATTAATTGTCTTTAAGTTCAAATGGCACGCTCTATTAACATAAGTCTAAGACAAAACAAGGAGACTTTCAATATATGAACAACCCGGCTTCGACGCGACGGTTGGACCGTAAACGTAAACAGATGACGCTTTCTAACGATAATGAATATAATATTATAACAGTCAATGGTTCATTATTCTAATGTGTTGTAAGATTAAAAATATATAATGAAATATATTATCTGTTGTATGTATATAGAGTACTCACTCATTTTCTTTCACTATTTTTTCGTGACTTTCTTCATTAAGGTGGCACAAGTCGCGAGCTCGAACTCATTGGTGGGCGCGGCCAAAAAGCACGTTGTCTCACCTGGCATCGTGCCCGACAGAGATAGTATCAGTGAAGAGCAGTTAGAACGCACGTCTTGTTCGTACGGCGTTCCGAACCGTTAGAACAAAAACGAAGTTACACGAACACGATGCACACATATATACCACCCTATTCTGTGCCGCTCGACGCTTGCTGAGAAATCAGCAGTACCTACCTACAAACTCGTACTAAATTATTAGGTGCTGCGTTATCGCTTTATACTATACCTCTATGGCTCTATAGATACCTAATATAGATTGCTTATTTTATTATGTTTTGTTTTCCCCGGGTGGTCATGCAGCGATCACTCAAGAGTTCACGACGCCGAAGCATGAACTGGAACAGTCATCGCAGTTTATATCCGTACTAGCTGTTGCCAGCGGCTTCAAACGCGTGAACTCGAAAATTATCCCACAGGAACGAAATACCTGAATAAACGGTATCAAATGTGTTATTCCAGACCAAGTATAACCCATCTCTGAGCTAAATATCATCCAGATCCCTTCAGCTGTGATTGAGTAACATACATCTATCCATCCAAACTTTCGCATTTATAATATTTAGATAATAATTGTAATTAGTTCTGCGTACCTATAAATTGTCTTCAAAAATACCTGTCTTCTTACTTTGTTTTATATACACACAATATCACTAGATGTAAACACATGTTTTTATCAAGACAAGTGACCCGTCAAGACTGTTTCCTTAGTACCGACGTACTTAGGCAGGTAGGTAGGCAGTTTAGATTTTAGTTTCCACGACGCAGCGACAGTTTGCCAAATTTTGTTGTATAGGTTGTGGGTATCTAGGTAATAACAGTAGGTAGACTACCTATCCACCGTCCACGCCGCGCAAGTGATTCTTGTCCCACCTGTCCGCGCAGTAACTTTTTTTTACGACCGCGCGAGACTGTCGCAACAAAAACGATTACTACCGAAAAACTAAATAGGTACCTACCTAACATTCAAATAAAAATATTCTCAAAAAGCTCAACGAATTCAGAATTTAATTTTGTTAAAAGAAAATTGGTCAAATAAAAAAATAAAGGATGAAAATAAAGCATATGGGAATATAAAAATAAATCGTATTTATTTGTTACTTATTTCGAGTTTTACAAGAAAAATATAATATTTACTGGAGACAATTATTTTATTATTATAATAGTACATGATATTCCCTTTAAAATGACACCAATATGAATAATATCTTATATCTATATCTACAAATAAATAAATTTGAAGTGTCTGTTTGTAATATTAAAATAACAGCTTTTTATTAAATGCATATGAAAGTACTATTTTTGTCTGTCTGTCGGTCTGTCTGTCTGTCTGTTTGTTCCAGCTAATCTCCGAAACAGCTGGATCTATTTTGACGGGACTTTCACTGGCAGATAGCTGATGATATAAGGAATAACTTGAACTACTTTTGTTTTAGAAAAAGAAGGGTTCCGCGCAAAAAAATTAAAACCCATGAAATCCATATCGGGAGTCGCGGGGAAAAACTAGTACTCAATATAGATAAATGTATACTTATTTTTATTTATTTATTATTTTAATAAATAATTTTTATTTAGCATCCATTTAACACAAAAAAACTGATAAGAATACTTTTTAAACAACATATAATCAATAAACGATAATCGCGTATAGTGAATTTCGAGGTAAACCAGCATGCGACGACGCGGCCCGCGCCTTGTCGCCACTTGCGTATGCCGCGCTTTGTCTCGTCACAGAGTGGCAAAATCACAGTAATATAGGTATTTTATAAACAGCACCTGTCTAATATTATGAAATATGTAGATAAAACTTAAAACTTACCTTGATAAATGTATACCCTTTTGTATGTAATATTTTTTTAGACCTCTCTTCAATCGTTTCTGCTTATTCCCCATGTTTTACAAACTAAACTTAAACATTAATAAAACTGTACAACATAATATAATAATACTGTGTAATATAACTATAAAACACTACTATTAAACAAGAATCAGAAAAAACCTACTCCACTATTAACAAAATTAAATTTTTGCAGTAATATTTTACGATTTTATTTTGTAGTGCTGAGCTCTTGCAACACGGCGTACGTCCACCTAGCAACACGATGCGCCCCGCACTGAATTCGTGGACGAATGCGGGGGGTGATATAGACGCAGTATTTAATCGGGACGCATTTTTAATTTATTATCATAAAAATAATACATATTTCTAAAAAGTAACCAAACCAAATTATTTTATTTTGTATTGCAAAGCAGAAGATATTTTTTTTATATTCCTTTGATAAACAATAAAGGAGTAAAGTGGTTTCATCTCAACGATTTGGAGGCGATTTGGGTATTTTTTTATTTATTATGTGACACCGATAGAAAATTTATGGCTAAACCAAATTACGTATCAGATCATGTAGATTACTAGCTATTTTTTCATATGTAATTTCTCTGTAAGTGTCGACGAAAAGTTGGTTCATCCTCACGCTTTTTTCAAGCTTTTTGCGAGAGAGCAGCCTTAATAATAAATGCACTTTATTCATTCATATTCAAATTTCTATACACTTTATACATAAACACCGTGTCGAAGACTGAGGAAAAGAAACGACGTTAGACCATCGTTAGACAATGCACGGCCTTCAAGCCACACCTCCGTGCCCGTCGGAGAGCGTGAGGTTTTTTTTGTTACGAAATTTCTGGATTTACCCGCACTCAAGGCCCGCGATAGAAGCTATGCAATAGCTTAAAAACAGTTCAAACTTAAAAAACTATCATAAAACTAATAAAATTATATTTATGTAAACTAAGTATCCAAAAAATCTCATAATATAAGAAGTGACATATAAGTCTATATCAATAGGATATAAATGCCTATATCCATAAATGTGTATTATGCCATCCTTAAAATCCGATAACATAACGAGTTACATACAAGTATATATCAATAGGATGTAGCTTGCGAGAAAATGAAATCGTGTCGTGTTTGCGCCATCTAGCGTATTTTGTGCGTACCACCTTGAAAGTTAATCAATGTTTGTTCGATAAAATCGTTTTACGTATAAAATGCAGTAGATGGCGCTTTAACAAATTATTATTATACTTGTTTACTCCAAAGAATACAGTTTTAGTTTATTACACTTAACTTCTCAAAATATTACCATATTATGCTTGTAAGCGGACAAGACTTTGTTGTACTTAATAAGTTTAAGTAGTTCTACATAATGTCAAACATTAAACGTGAATTAATTTCTTCAAAAAATGTACAACAAGTTATATATAATTATATATCAATTGAATTTAGCCACCGAGAGAATGAAATCATGTCGTGTTTACGCCATCTAGCGTATTTTTTGCATACCACCTTGAAAGTTCAATGTTTGTTCGATAAAATCTTTGAGCATAGACAATAGAGGAGCTGCCCAGAGCGTCTATATGTTTTATTGATTATACAAATATGGTTATATTCGACACTGAACTGTCAATATGCTGCCTATCTCTTTTTCACTCAGCGAAGTGTAAGTCTAAGTGTCATTCATAAATGAAACAGATAATAGAAATTGTTTCGCATTCTGGTAAACATTTTTAAGATGACGTCAATTAATGGCGTCCCCGCCTTGCGGCCAGTGTTGCCGTTTTAGCCACTTTGTGGCTAGATCTAGCGGTTTTCAAAGGTTTTAGCCAAAAAAAAAATCAATTTTAGCCACCAAAACGAATCTAGCTACTTCTAACTACTTCTGGTAATTTTTGTTAGCTACAAGTTCTTTTAAAGAAACATGTGGTTACCGCCTTTTGCTGAGAAGGCAACACTACCGCGGTCCGCTCACTCTCCGCGCCGCAGGTGTAATCTATGATCGGGGTTTCCCCAACTCCACTCATATAGTACCGAAAGTCGAAACGATAGATCGCATTGTTCTTGTTTAGCCGTAGCCTCTCACGCGTGGATAGTTCTTACATTTTTCATTTTTGTTAAGTTTTAAAGGTGAATTGAGAGTCTTGAGTTCTTGGAAAGTTATTGGAAATATCATGGATGTTCCTCTCAAGAAAAAGAGCTACATTCAAAAATATAGGACTGAATGGGAGAATGACGAAGACTTTAAACAGTGGATAAAGCCAATAGCGGATAGTCCAACGAAAGCCTTTTGCAAGTATTGTCATGTAGAAATTGCTGCCAAAATTTATGATTTACGTAAGCACAGAGAATCTAAAAAACACAAAGCAAAATGTGAATTAATCACAAAAAATAAACAGATCCAGTTTACCTCTACACCTGATGATGGTTCAAAGAACAGTCAAAAAGCTGAAGGCCAGCTTGCCTTGTTCATTGCTGAACATACTTCCATATCCAACACTGACCACCTTACAGACCTTTGTAAAGAAGTTTTTCATGATTCAAAGTGTGCCAAAGATATAAAAATTAATAGAACTAAATGTACGCAAGTTATAAATCAAGTGCTGGCGCCGCATTTTAAGGATACTCTTCTAAAAGATATTGGCACGCAGAAATATAGTATTATTTTAGATGAATCTACGGATGTTAGCGTCTCAAAATACATGGGAATAATAATACGATATTTTAGCCTGAATACGAATAATATTGTGTCATCATTTCTGTCTCTGGAGCCTATTGAAAGAGCTGATGCGAGAGGTATTGTCACATCTTTAGTAAAATGTTTGGAGTCACAAAGTCTTCCAATACAAAATTTGATTGGGATCGGCACCGACAATGCCTCGGTCATGACGGGCCGAAATAACAGCGTAATTGAAATTTTGAAGAGAGAATATAATTTACCAAATTTGATCCTCATTAGATGCATCTGCCACTCTTTGCAATTGGCGGTCAGCCATGCGTCTGAAAGCAATCTGCCACGTAACATAGAATTTCTGATAAGAGAGACGTACAACTGGTTCTCCATTTCTCCAAAACGCCGAGACGAATATAAAGCGCTGTTTCAAACAATTAACTGCGGGGATGAACCATTAAAAATATTAAAGGTTTGTGACACCCGTTGGTTATCAATAGAGCCTGCTGTGTTGAGAATATTGGCACAATGGAACGAGTTAAAACTACATTTTTCTTTGGCCAGAGAGAAGTGCTATACAGCGGGACTTCTTTGGGAAATGTACAATGACGAGGGTAATCGTCTTTACTTATGTTTTTTGAAAAGTATTCTTCACGACGTTCAAATTGGCATTAAGGTATTTGAAGGTGAAAATATTGATCCTGTCAAACTGTTAGAAACTCTGATGACCTTGTTACGATCTGTCTGCGTTAGAATAATAATACCAGGCGCCGCGACAACAGACAAAGATTTCCTCACTATCAAAGTAGAAGATCATCTAGATCCAGTTGCACATTTGGGACATCTTTTCGAATCTCATGCCAGTAATAGCAACTTATCTCCGCAAGCAATTTCTAATATCAAAAAACGATGCATCGACTTCAGTGTCAAGTTGGTACAAGAAATTCAGAACAGAATACCTTCTAATTACGAGATCCTAGCAAAAGTAACACTCTTAAGTCCAGAGAACACATTAAAACAGATCAAGGATCCTCATGCACTGGTTGGATTAGCAAGAGAATTGGGATTCGATGACCAAAAGACAGATAAAATTGTTCAACAATGGAAAACTATACAATTCATAGAATGGGAAACTGCAGGAGACAGTGTTAAATTCTGGGCGCAAGTCTTAAAATACAAGAATGCAGCAGGAGTTAATACATTTCGAGAACTAGCTGACTTGGCTATTGCTGCAATGTCCCTTCCTCACTCTAATGCGGAAGTAGAAAGGCTGTTCAGCGTGATGAACACTGTAAAAAATAAATTGAGAAATAGAATGTGTTCATTGACACTCAATTCTATAATAATGATTAGAAATCAATTAAAAATAAAGAAGAAAAATTGTCACAACTATGTTTTACCGCCTGAGGTTTTAAAAAAATTAAAAAAACTGTCAAACCTTTAAAACAAATCGTAACACCATCTACATCATCATCACCCATTGACGAAGAGGTTATAGAATTACCAGATGACATTGCAGACCTACAAATTGATTATTAATTTTTATTTTTTTTTCAAATAATTTAATTAGTTACTAAATTTTAATTGTAGATACGTACAAACATTATTGTTAGTTTTAATAAATACTTAATTAACTTAAGTATATTAGATCCGGTTTTAATTAAACCCACTTATCCCTAACCTTGTATATTATTTAATTATCAATATAGAATATTAAAGTAGGCAAAGGATATTATGATATTAGCCACTTCTAGCTACTTTTAGATTACGATTTTTTTTAAAAGCTGGCCACTTTTTTATTCTATTTAGCCACAAACTAGATTGTCCAAACGGCAACACTACTTGCGGCCGATTCCGCCATAGTCTAGACTTATTGTAATATTTATTGATCTATGATTTGCTGCTATAAAAAGTCGTTTGATATTTCTTAATTTGAAAATTTTGCGAATTTTTAAACAGTTTATAGTGAATTTTCCAATTCATTATAAAGAACGAAGATGACTAAGTGTTGCGTAAGAGGCTGTACCTCAAAATATAGTCAAAAATCACACGAACTATCATTTCATAGGTGAGTGATTTAGTTTTTGGTGTAAATATAATGTAAAAACGTTTATATCTTTTGCGACAGTAAGTAGATGGATGTAATTATTTACCCTAAACCTTTAATTCATATTATTTAATTACTTCTTATCATTCTTTGCGTATCTATAAAATTTTGTTGTTCGTAAATTGTGATGTTACATTGCTAACAATACATTCTTTCAAGGACATACTTTATTAAGGTTTTCTTGATTTATTCTGTCGTATTATGTGCAAAAGTTTTGCGTTATGCATTGCATTATTTCGGTGTCATGGGTCTGAGCAGTGAGCATAAATGATTAACTAAATTATACGGAAACGGAGTTACATTCATGGTAGGACCTACGGTACCTACATAATAAAAGTGAAGCAAAGCAACAAAGATTACATAAAGTACAATCTAGCGCCTGTAAGTAATCTCTCTCTGTAGGCAAACATGCAAATACCTCAGACTATGGACATTATTACTTGACTTTATTATATATTGTTTACTTATATATTGTATATATTAGCCCATCAGTGCCTTCTAATAATGCAATATACATAAATGTTTAGCATATACATATTTATAATTTACCTTAAGTCAACTTTTATAACAACCATGGTGTTGTTTAATTTGTAATATTATTTGCAGCTTCATAGATCTAAATCATTATTTTCTGTTCTATCATTTCTAGGTTGCCAAAGAACAAAAAGAAAAGACAAATATGGCTTGACTCTATTGGTGTAGAAAATATCAACCCAACAGATAAACAAAACTTCATATGTTCCTTGCATTTTGCAAAGGAATCTATTAATAAAACTCTTGATGTAGTTAGGCTTTGTGATGATGCAGTGCCAACAATTTTTCCGGCTGTAAGTTTCTAGTTTTGTTACACTTGTACAACAAGCAATGTTTGTTATGCAAATATGATTAGTAGTTCTTTTAGAAGAAGTGATTACTGATGCTTAACATTACTGATTATGCATATTTTGACATAAATAATATTAGTTAGTTTCCAAAGTATAGAAATTTACTTTATATTTATAAAAAAAACTACATATATTTTTTATCATCTCTTTCCCTGCCCTATGAATCATATATGAACATTTCAATTGTTTAACTATTGTGTGTTTTGTAGACAGGGAAACTGTTACATATTAAAAAATATTTTTATAAACATTTATGATTAAAACATTGTATTTGTGGAATTCATTTAAACTTTTTGCGAAATTTGGAAATTAAGATTGTTAACTTGCAATTACTCTTAACAAAATAAGGCATAGGCCCAGTGCATGAAAATTCACTTAGGGAGTCATGTCCTAATTTGTAGCACAAGTATTCGCTACTAGGTCCACCGGACCCAGTATAATATAAGTTTATTCAAAAACTGCTTTATAAACGTAAATAGTTACTTTCTAATAAGGATATATGTGTAAAGAAAACTATAATTGAAACAAATACTAATATTTATTGTTTTTACTTAAACAAAAGTTGTTTCAAAAATATACTAAATTTCTCTAGAGTTTTGTGACATGTTAAAGGCTAATCGTTATAATTTCAAACAAATTACTTATTTCCAACAAAATCTAATATATTTTCTTACACAATAATGTATTTACTTACAAGAAATAAAGAGGGATCAATCTTCATAGAAATATTTAATATAAAATTCAAAAATACAATATCTTCTTTGAACGAAAATCAAAAAGCCGGGGTGGATATAAAATAAAAAATATTTCACGGCAAATAATTTATTTGTTATGATAATTTGTAACCACAAGTGCATCGTAAAGTATAATAATATTCAAATCACAGCGATTCTAAAGTAGGTAGTTTTTACTTCAAGAGATATTAGTTTAAACGGCCACACGAAACTGGTGCACAAGCAACTGGTGGGGGGGGGTGCTACTAGCTCTAAAAGAGAACTCCATCCTGTTTAACCATCCTGGCTTTAGATAGTAACTTATTAGCCCAGAAGTTTACTTCTGGGCTAATAAGTTACTATCTACTATCTAGCTTATTCTGTATAATATGAAGTCAGAGCAACTAGCTTGTTAACTTACACCTTACAAGCACGAGTTGCTATCCGTGCTTTAAGTATCAAAATCGTCTTCAAACTATTATTTAAACGATAAAACTGGAGCAGCAATCATCTGGCGGTTAAATTCACACGAAATTCCCCTAGCCTCCCTAATCGTTAAAGAAAATATAATTTTGCATATTAAAAATAAATTAAATACATAAAGGTGTTACTAAATTTTAAAAGTTGATTGAGTTCACATCACTAAAAAATGGGCGGAGCTTACAGCGTCCGCCATTTATTGTCTCAATTTGACACGATTTTTTTGTAGGCTTGCCATCTCCTCTATTTTCTATGCTCAAAGGATAAAATCATTTTACGTATAAAATGCAGTAGATGGTGATATAATGAATTATTATTTTACTGTTTACTCCAAAGAATACAGTTTTAATTTATTACACTTAACTTCTCAAAATAGTCTTATATTATGCTTGCAAGCGTACGAGACATTGTTATACTTAATAGGTTTAATTAGTTCTACACAATGTCCATTCTGTACTATTTCACGCTGGTATTTTATGAGAGCGTGGTCCTTCCTCGGTCGAGCCTGCCCATTAGCGCTACGACTATACTACTAATATAACTGGAGCATGGCTCTACCACATATAAAACTATATATACACTTCGCAAAATAGTCCCATATTATGCTTGTAATCGGACGAGACATTGTTATACTTAATAGGTTTAATTAGTTCTACACAAGGTCAAACACTAAACTTGAATTAATTTCTTTAAAAAATGTACAGTATCTACCTAATATCTACGCATCTATATAATATCCACGCTCAAAAAGTGTAACTTGATTTAATATCAAAGACTTAACTGCATAAATAAAATAAATAAATAATTATAATTGCATAAGTTGATAAAAAATGCTATGCAATAGCTTTACCGCGGCAGTCACCGAGTGCCACGCGTATTTTTTTTTAATTTAATTTACAGACTCCTATCCAGATGTTTACTAGGAGAATACAAAGTTTATTTCATTTTTGTAATATGGCTAATTATTAATTAGGTAGGGATTTCTAAGATTAATAACTAATTAACTAAGATTAAGGTTAAGAACTAAGATTAAGATTAATGATAAGATATTTACATTTACAATGTTCCAAAATAAATAAATAAATAATTGACCATGAATGAGTAAAAATAATATCTTTTATTTTACAGTTTCTAATGTTGTTATATAAGGTGCTTTTAAAATATATGCCACGGTTGTTTGTATGGAGACTTGGCCAATCAGCTGATCGATTTCCATATAAAGTGCAATTTTTTTTGAGAATTGACTATGGGTTCCTTGGGGAAAGTGGTACAGTATCATGAGTAGAACCACCAGTTGCAGCCATGGCATATTGTAGTTTAGAAGCACCTTATATTTCAGTTAAAATGAGTGCAAGTATGTATTATTTTTCTTGTACCGAATTTCGGCCCATCTCTAATATATATATGTATATATATATTGAGAATCTAAATTGAGAATTTAAACTATATGCGTGTGTGTGTTTGTGTGTATATAAAGAGGGCTACTTTTAATATCGCTCATTTTAATATCAAAAATTTAGGTTATCTTTATAGCAGTATTATATTTTCAATTCAAAATTAGTACTGCATTTGTGATAATAATAAAATGTATGTATATAGAGTACTCACTCATTTTCTTTCACTATTATTTCGTGTCTTTCTTCATTAATAATAAATGCACTTTGTTCATTCATATTCAAAACACTTTATACACCAACACCGTGTCGAAGACTGCCGAAAAAAGAAACGACGTTACACAATGCACGGCCTTCAAGCCACACCTCCGTGCCCGTCGGAGTGGGGAGCGTGAGGTTTTTTCGTTACGGCGGAATAAATTCCTGGATTCGGTCCCCACGCTCAAGGCCCGCGATAGAAGCTATGCAATAGCTTAAAAATTCACTAAAAGCTGCATCTGCATATAACATAAAAAAGTTAATCACTCAGACCCAGATTATCCATTTGTGGCTAAAGACAGGACTCATATACAACAAATTGAGTCACTGTGGAGAGCAGTCAAGAGGTTTTTCAGAAAACAAAATTATAACAATTCACATCACATTGTTTCATTTACCACTATCAAAGCAGAGTTTAAGGTTACTTGACTTATTAGTAAGATTGGTCGAATCTGTTCTGAAACTGAATGAGCATGAACAACTCCACATAGTCTTGTCTGCCCCACCCCTAGAGTATTTTTCTAAAGCCATGCCAGCACGGAGGGAGAGACCCAAAGATACTTCTGCAACAGCTTCAGCTCTGCAGGAAGTGCAGCCCCCGCCTCCCATAGTAAATCACAGGCACCTATGCTCATCTCTATGCCAAAGCTGCGGAGATGAGCATAGGTACCTGCATTTGTTATGGTGGGTGGGGGCTGCACTTCCCACAGTGCAGATGCTGTTGCAGAAAGAAACTGGGTCTATATTTCTGTGCTAAAAGTGAGGTTATGATTTTACAAAAAAATCATTACTCATAAGTTATATGTTTCCACAAGAGGGGAAGGGTAGGGGGTTTCTCTTACACCCATCTCCTCCATCCCCCGTACGCGTATTGGAAGTCTATAGTTTTACCCAGTACAGTGACTACCATTTTATCAAATAATGGAATTGTTTATCTCCTAGATTTCCTAGAAATGATGAACTTAGGCAAAAGTGGATTGATGTTGTTCCCAGAAATGTAACCAAGTATTCAGCAGTTTGTGGGTTACATTTTACAGCGAAAGATTTTTCGACTGATGCAAATGCGGTTAAAAAAAGATTAAACTTTAATGCCATACCATCGATTTTTTCTAAAGTAAGTGCTTACTCACTTCTTACCCAAAATGCTTGATGACTATTTTACTGTCTGGAAAATAATATAGTGTTTTGTGTAACTGGAATAGAAGCTATCCTCGGAAGTATTTGTAAAATATAACTGCTAGGCAAAATTCTGAATATCCAACAAAAACATAAAAACAGTTCATCCTACGGTATTTGTGTAAAACTAAAAATAAATGATATTATTTTTAACGGCGCGGCGTAGGCTACGGTCGCTAATGATTGTAAGTTGTAAGCAAGAGTGAGATGCATGCACATTTCTTCGTTAGGCATTCATCTTCGTTATGTAGATGACAGGCGGCCGAGTGGGACTGGCCGACACATCGTTGCAGCAAACATGTAGAATCAGGCGTATTCAAGAAGACCTAGCTGCAATACTTGTCTTCATAATGCTTGCAGCTAAGTGTTTTTTTATACGGCGCAGCACCTTTTACGTATGCAGATTACTGACGTTCAGCCGGAATGATGTTACGATACGTTGACTAAAACAGCAGGCAGACTGAAATGGCAGTAGGCCATGTCAATGAATTGTATTTTGATCCTTTATTATAAAAATCAAAATGCAGATACATTGTGACTCCAGAGCTAGTAAATATATGTGATATAATAATATCTTTCTAAATACGACGCTTTAAGATTTTCTCCTGTATTGCAGAAGTAATTTGCAGACATAAATTACATATATACAAACATCCAAATTCAGAACAATCAATTATTTCATAATATTTAGAGGTAAAATTTAGATAAACTTGTGTTGGTTAGAGTACCTTAAACAAACACATTTAAGCAAATAAAGAATTGATTGATTGGTTACTTGTTGGTTTGATGTATAATATAGCATACATAATTATTTTTAGAATAAGGGTGACAAAACGAGCACAAGTCCACCTGATCGTAAGTGGATGCTGTGGCCCATAGACATCTACATTTATCCTCTGTTAAGAATCAAAAGCAGATGCGCTGTCACCCCTGAGGACCAAGATAGAATGCCTTGTTTCCAGTAAAAAATAGTCTCCGGATCTCTACATTCACCATACGAAACAGCAGTATTAAGCTGCTATTTTACGTTGGTATTCTGTGAAAGCATGGTCGGACTCCGGTCGAGCCGGCAGATCTACTCGTGCTACAATCATGGGCTTATTAAATTTATTTTAAATTAGTATTTTCTTTTCAGGAATGTTATGATGTACTCTCAACTTCCAAGGCTAAAACTGTTAATGATAATGTTCCCTTAACGCTACCACCTCCAATACGAAATATTGTAAGTGAATACATTTTTATATTTACAAATAATCTAGTTCCCGTGTAGTGGCGGTATAAGAATATCCATTATCCAAAATCATCCCATGGATGACATAAGAGTTGACAGAGGGAAACATATCAAGAGATGGGCAGCAATGTCTGTTCCTAAATAACAACTAAGAATAAATAACATGCAGTTGCCAAACTTCTTGCCAAGCATGGCAGCTATAGCTGAATCCCCCCATGAGGCAATCTATGTGGGAGGCCTTTGTTCAGCAGTGGACTGTTTATAGGCTGGTTGGATGGATTTATAAATTTCCTTTCAAAATATTTTTGTTTTCAGGAATGTGATAATGTACCCTCAACTTTCCGGGCTCACTCACATAAAACTGTCAATGATAATGTTTCCATACCGCTATCACCTCCTTTTCAAAATATAGTAAGTGAATACATTTTTATATTTGCATATAATCTAAATATCTGGATTAACATTTTTTAAAGCTTTCAATTTTCTAGTTTTTAAACCCCGACGAAAATAAATGGTTGTTGTTGGTAGTGTACATCTGTGTGTCTGTCTGTGACATCATAGCTCCTGAACGGATGAACTGATTTTGATTAAGTTTATAGTGTGCAGCTGTGTGTATGTCTGTGTCATCATAGCTCCTGAACGGATGAACTGATTTTGATTAAGTTTGTAGTGTGCATCTGTGTGTCTGTCTGTGACATCATAGCTCCTGAACGGATGAACTGATTTTGATTAAGTTTGTAGTGTGCATCTGTGTGTCTGTCTGTGACATCATAGCTCCTGAACGGATGAACTGATTTTGATTAAGTTTGTAGTGTGCATCTGTGTGTCTGTCTGTGACATCATAGCTCCTGAACGGATGAACAGAGTTTGATTGGTTTAGATTAGTTTTATTTTTCATTTGAAAGATGTGTCATAATCAAGTGTCCTTTGCTGTTTTAAGAAAATCTCTTCAGCCGTTTGGAGATCATCAGCTCTTTTTGTTTTGGGGGTTTTAAATTTTTGATTTAAGTAATTGGTTTATTTCTTTTTATTCTGAAAGTTTATAGTTTAAATCTTCACCAAGTACAATCGAATGCACAGTAGCCCCTGGTAATCCGTCCCCCCTTGTAATCCGACATGTCTTTAACTTGTAGGTAGATTCGAATCGCGTTATGAATCCATCACGGGGGGCGGTGTTCTTCGCGAATATGTGGACAAACAGGTTGCAATTAGTTCACGCCATGAATCCAGCTTGAAGCTTACTGTCTCAGTTAAATTGTGACTGGTAGCGGCCCAATGGGCATTCATTATTTACTTTTTAGGTATTCATTGTGCATCACATGACATTTACTTTTTTAATTATTTTATATTTGATATCTAATCTGTTCGAGTACAAAATACTCTTTTAAAAAAAGTATCGGACTAACAGCGAGCTGTGGCAGTACTCTGTAGTCCGAAAAATTTGATAATCCGATTGTGGGATTTCTGTGGGTCAACTTTATGCGTATGCGAACAAGGGCGTTTCTTCCTTGAAGTTGTCAGTTTTAACTAAAAATATTGCAAGGGCTGTGTATTCATACAAATTTAAAAATCCACAAAGTAATTCTGCATTTTATTGTGAACATTAAAATTTTCAGGATTTTGCTAGTGAAGCTTCAAGTTCCTCGACCCATGAAAATCTATCGATTCAGTCAGATGACAGTGATGACACAACTAAACAAAACCCTGTAAGTGCAATTTATTGTGTTATTGAATTTTACTATTTAACATATAAACATAATTATATTAAGTTATTTGGTAGAGCCATGTTGCAGCTATGTTATACTTGTATCACGAAATCACGAATGAGTTGGCTCAACTTGGGTAGAACAGGTACCTACGGCAAAGAGCTTACTCGCACGCACCTGCCATGTCTATGAACACATCTAGGGCATAACATAACACATTATTTAAGTCGATACAGTCGAACTTAAGCCGTGGTAGGTCCGAGGTAGGATTCCGGTTCTGGTAAAAGTATCGTAAAGACGTGCGTTATTGGCCTCCGTGTGTAAATGGTGTTAAATTAAAGACGTCTCGACATAATTTTATCAAAATAAAAACTTCGAAATAAGTAAAAGAAGTGAAAACAGTGAAATATATATATTTCGTGAAAAAAGACTGCAAATATCATTTTGCAATATAACCTAAAAGTGTTATTCATCATCATAGCCATAAACTATAGAGCTGAACTGAAGCTGAAACGTAAGAATAACTTAGCCTTTAGAGAGTAGAGTTGAAGAAATAGGAAAAACAGAAATCGAACTAGTAGATTACATCAAGGAAATCATAATAGAGACAGGAACATATTTAGATAGCCATGAAATTAACAACATTTACAGGATCGGGCAGAGGACGAATAATAAAAACCGCCCAGTCGTTGTCTCCATCACATCATTATGGAAAAAACACATAATACTGAAAAATAAGTCTAAGCTTCCATCAGGTATATACGTAAATGAAGACTTCCCTAAAGAGGTACTAGAAAAGAGAAAGCAGCTACAATTGCAGGTTGTGGAAGAAAAGAAGTAAGGAAACATAGCTTTCTTAAAATACGACAAAATAATAGTGAAAAAACCAATAGACAAAAACCGAGAAAAAAGGAAGAGAGAAAAATCTGATTCACCTAACGTATCAACACAGAGGAAAATTAACACAGTGAATAATTCAATATATCCATCAACCAAAACCACCGAAAAAGAAATTATAAGACCCAATATATTGAATTATGTTGAGAGAGGAAGGTCAGCTTCACTGTCAGACACTGCAAAAACTGATAACTGCCATCGACACCCGGAATCAAAACAAAACGACTACCATAACATTATCAAAACCAAATTTTGTGAAATGCACCCCCTTCAAATGACCCACTCAAACTTGAAGCACAGGTGCACTCTAAAACACCGCGTCAAAATAACAATATAACTAATGACAATATAATTAATATAGCAACATACAATACCCTCTCTCTAAGAACCAATGAAAGCCTAGTTGAGCTGATACTAGCATTGGAACAGATTAACAGGTCGATAGTAGGACTGAGTGAAGTTCGACGCCTGGGTGAGAATATAGAGGATTATGGCGACTTTATTTTATATTCTAAAGGAGATACATCAGGTCACCTGGAACAGGATTTTTGGTCAAAAAAGAATTAAAACTTTACATTGACGAATTCATAGGGTTATCTGAACGTATTGTTATACTCAACTTAAAATTACTGCCCAAAAACGCAAAGTGGTCAATCATACAAAAAAAATATACTCTCCAACTGAACAGTCCAGTAGTGTTGAAATTGACTCGTTCTACTCTATGTTAACAGAAGCAATAAAAAATTATACATACAATAATTTGATAGTTATGGGCGATTTCAACGCAAGAACGGGAAGCAGAGGCTATGGAGAAGAGACGGTATTGGGTCCACATTGTTCAGGAAAGAGAACAGGGAATGGCGAGAAACTCATACAAATGGCATATGAAAACAACCTGAAAGTACTTAACAGCCTATACAAACAAAGAGATAATAACAGATGGACTTGGAAATCTCCAGATTGCCGATATAAAATGAGATAGATTATATACTAACTAATAAAAGTAATGATTTCACTGATTGTAGAGTCATAAATAACCTAAACTTCAACAGCAACCATAGAATGGTCAGAGCCAAGCTTCGTCTCCAGATGTTTAAGAGAAACAGACCTTTTAAGGTAAAGCAAAGCAACATTACAATTCTAGAAAATACTGAAAGTCTAAAAGAAAAATTAGAAAATTTTATAGAAAACACAAAGGATATAGATATTAAAACCAAATACAACAAATTCGAAGAACTATTAATTACAAGAGTGAAGAGTAACCCTAGTAATAGAAAAGAAGGGATAAAATGGCTACTATATAATACTAACATCGATGGTCCAAAAAACAAAAGAATCAAGGAAAGATATAGCTGACTTAAGTAAGAAAATCAAATCTAACATGAGAAGAGACCGCCAAAGACACAGGTTAGAATTAATAGAAAGATGTATTCAGGAGACCGGAAGCACCAAAAAAGCATTCAAAAAATTGAAGTCAAAAATAGAGTGGGGTGCTGATTTACCACGTGCTCGGCGGTGAAGGAAAACATCGTGAGGAAACCTGCATGTCTGAGGAATAAGAAAAAAAAAATTATTTTGAAGACATGTGAAGTTTGCCAACACGCATTGGGGCAGCGCGGCGGACATTTCCTTGCCCTAAAACCCTCTCAGAAATGAGGGGAGGCCTGTGCCCAGCAGTGGGACGTATATAGGCTGTAACTTTACTTTACTTTACTATCTGGGTCAAGTAATCTCGCCAACAGATGCAACTTCAAAAGAAATTGATAGACGCATTGGAAACGCATGGAAACAATGTTGGAGTCTGAAAGAGATTATGAAAAACAGAGGAGAAATAAGTATGACCATCAAGTGGAAACTGTTTGACACTTGTATACTGCCTGTATTGACATATGGTTGCCAAACCTGGGCACTTACTAAATCTCTCAACAGAAAACTTGCAGTGTGCCATGGAAAAATGCTATGGAAAGGAGTATGATGGGCAAAAAGCTGAAAGATAAAATAAGTACTACAACCATAAAGAAACACACCGGAACAAGGGACATTATGGTAACCATAAGAAAACTAAAATGGAAATGGATAGGGCATACAATTAGGGGCAAAGAAAAATGGTCAAAAACAATAATGTTCTGGTTCACAAGAAACAGGAGACTTACTAAATCTCTCAACAGAAAACTTGCAGTGTGCCATGGAAAAATGCTATGGAAAGGAGTATGATGGGCAAAAAGCTGAAAGATAAAATAAGAACTACAACCATAAAGAAACACACCGGAACAAGGGACATTATGGTGTGGTATGGTATGGTAATCATAGTTATAATTTAGTTTGTATAATAGTGAAACAGCCTGTATAAAGTTAAGAAGACTGCGCTGCCTAATAGAACCGGTTCGTCGAATAGTCCCAGGTGAGAATTGCAAATGGGTGCTTACCGCTTACAAGATAAAGAAGGCGTATTTATTTATATGTAAAGCAGTGCGTTAGTTACGTATGTGAGTACCAATACAAACCACTATTGGTTTAATGGTACAAATCAAGCAAATATGTAAGAATACTTTTGATAAATAATAAATAAAAAAAAAAAACCATAAGAAAACTAAAATGGAAATGGATAGGGCATACAATTAGGGGCAAAGAAAAATGGTCAAAAACAATAATGTTCTGGTTCACAAGAAACAGGAGAAGGAAACGAGGAAGATCATCCTTAAGATGGATCGATGAAATAAAGGCTGTTGCAGGTGGCACATGGACAAGAGTGGCTGGTGACAGAGAAAAATGGTCACAGTTGGAGGAGGCCTTTGTCAAAAGAGGCACACAGACAGGGATGTTGAAGCAAAATTAGTCTATAAAAAGAAAAATATATGGAAGAAAGTATAAACTAACATTGTCTGAATAAAAGGCTTTTATTATTATTATTGTGGGGTATCTATATAGTTTTCTCATCTGGTTGGGATCTATAAATATATAATTATAAATGAAAACGAAAAGATAAATATATACATAAATATCAATAAAATAAATAACAAAAATACATAAATAAATAAAAGCCCAACCAGATGGAAGCCCTCGGCAGGGGAGACCAAACGGCCGAGGGTTAGGGGGAAAGGGAAAGAAACCGGCGGACGATGCGGGCAGTATCAAGGAGCACCGCCTTCTGCATTTGAGCCCGGAGCGGTCCGTCACGGAGTCCCAGTCGCCTCAGATGATCAGAGAGGCTAACTGGGATTAGCCCATTCGCAGAGACGACTACAGGAATAATTTCGGTCGGCAGACCACCCCACATGTAGGTCACCTCGTGAGCCAGGTCCAGATATTTTAATTGCTTATCTGTTTCGGCTTTCACGAGGTTCTCGTCATACGGGATGGTAATATCGACCAAAAATATCATCCCGGCTAGAATATCAGGCTTATTCGCAAGAATAGTCCTGTCTGTGATGATGGCCCGGTCCCAGTAGAGCCTGGCGCGGTCATTTTCGAGCACGGCTTCCGGCAAGTACTTGTAATACGGCAATTTACGGTCCACGAGACCGTATTTCAGAGCGAGCTCCTGGTGTAGAATTCTGGCTACTAGGTTGTGCCTGTGCAAGTACTCAGAGTTAGAAAGCGCCGAACAACCGGAGATGACATGCCTAAGCGACTCACCGGGATGGCGACAAGCTCGACAGACGTCGACGGTGCCATCCTTTAGGATGTATCTCCGATAGTTGTTGGTCTTAATAACCTGATCCTGTATTGCACAGACAAAACCCTCGGTTTCCCCCGAAGAGGTCACCGAAACGTAGCCAGTTGAGGGAGGCGACTGTATCTACGAAGGGCTCATGAAGAACCCTGTGGTACCTCCCGTGGAGCTCCTTCTCCTTTCATACGGTCTCCCGGTCGGAAATGCTAAGCACTGCTGGGTCCTGCCATTGCTCGAGGGCTAAGGATAGAGGGGTAAGCCCTTTATCACTAGAAATGACGTCATTATAGAATGGATCATCCGATCTCGCCAGGAAGTAATCACGGAGGCTGCACACTTCGCGATTATGCATGGTGAGCGCGCTCAGAAAACCTCGCTCACCATGCTTTCGCGGCAAGTACAGCCTCATTACAGACGATCTCGGATGATGCATCCTATGGGACGTCATGGTAGTGTGGACTTTTCTATCCAGGGCGTTAAGTTCGGTCTGAGTCCACCTGAGTATGCCAAAGGTATACATGAGGACAGGTATGACCCAACCGTTATATGCGTGTGTCTTATTCACACCGGACAAAAGGCGGTTAAGCACTTTGGTCAAGCGTGCATAAAACACGTCGCAAACTGACTGTTTTATACCAGCCTCATCAATACCGATGTTCTGTGACATACCCAGGTATCGGTATGTTTCAGCCTCGGAAATGGTCTTTAAGTTGACGGGCATAGATAAATCTATGCCCTCAGAGTTAGCAACCCTTCCCCCTTCAACATGAAGGACCGCACACTTATCCGTCCCCAGCTCCATTCCAATAGAATTGCTAAATTCACAAGTGATGTTTAGCAATTCCATAAGATGGGAGCGACTGGAGGCGAATAACTTGAGGTCATCCATATAGAAATGGTGGGTCACTTTTGTTCCTCCTCTCCGTAGCTGAAATCCCCTCCTGGAGCCCTCCAGTAAGGTACTGAGAGGGTTCAGAGAGAGGCAGAACCAGATTGGACTCAGACAATCGCCCTGGAAGATACCCCTTATTATCCTTATGTGGTTCTCCGCAGCCATCATCCGCTCGCCCAGATAACAGAGGATCGTACTTCACTGCCCCATACACTGCTCGAGGAAGTTTCTAACTGTACAGTCAATCTTGTACAGCTCGAGGACCCTCTTTAGCCATGTATGGGGCACCGAGTCGAATGCCTTTCTGTAGTCTATCCAGGCGGCGGCGAAGTTCCGGCGGTTGCGTTTCACCACTTTGCCAATGACCGCGTCAATGAGGAGTGGTTCCTTGGTTCCACGACCACCGCCCCGACATCCATTTTGAGCGCGTGACATCACCTGACGCTCCAGGTGATAGCTCCAGGTGACGAGTGATTTTCGCGCTCAAAATGGATGTCAGTGTCTTATATATAGTGGGTAGACACGTGATGGGGCGGTATTTGCTCGGGTCTGTGGTATCCTGATCTTTAGGAACCAAGTGAGTGATCCCAGTAGTGAAGAAGCTCGGGAGCGACTTCTGATCGAGAGCCTCTTGGTACTGTCGGACGAGCACAGCGTGACACACTACGAACCCCTTCAGACAGTAATGATGCAGCCCGTCAAGCCCCGGACTTTTCCAGTTCGTGGCCCTACGGACCGCCTCAGCCACGTCTTCAGGCGTTATGGTGACGGGGTTCATAGGCGTAACACTTGCACTCTGGCTCGCCACAACTTCCATCCAAGGGCCCTCGCTGTGGTTTACGTGCTCTGACCACAGGCCACGCCAAAATGCGACAGTGTCAGCCTGATCCGGTCCTGGGCCCGCTCCACATACCTCTAGTCGCTGCAATGATTTATAGAGCCTCTTCTGATCACTCTGGAAGAGACGATTCTGGTTGAACCGCCTTGACCTCTCGCTAAATCGTCGAATCCGCTTCCCCCAAGCAGCGATTTTTTGCTTCAGATTATCCTATGCGCTCCGTTAGTTTCTGCGTGATATCCGGCTGGGGCAAACTAATATTTGTCCCAGCAAACGCCATTCTAACGGTGCGCACAACTCTCGGTACATTATTACCCGACCTGAAGCTTTTCAGTCTGCCGATAAGGGCTCTTGCCTTTGCGATACGGTCCTCGATCCTTTTTCTCCAGGCTGGGATGGCACTATCTTGTTAAGTAGCACGTCCAGCCATGGGAAGTTTGGCGCCAATAATACGGCATACTGCCAGTGCGGCGCCAAAAAGAATTGAGTCCGTCTCGCAAAGGTCCCGGCTGGCTTCCAAATAGGTCACCAGCATTGGGTTAAGAGCCCGCACGACAGCCCGATTTCGCTTGCTAAGGGGTATGACGGGAAGTCGCGGTCGATTTTCGAGAGGCATGCTGCGCGTTTCCAGCATCGACTCTTCCAATATGCTCCTCATTTTCTCTAGTTCGCGGGGGACTATTCCATCATCGTCTTAATCAACCACAAATGGAATATTGACGGCAGCGTCCACATTTGCAGTTTACTGCGCAATTAGTGGCGCAGCATTCCCAGCCGTAGCATTTCCATCCGATGAGGGAACAGCCTCACGTCGTAGTCGTTGGAGTTCGGCGTTACCAAATATGTTGGAGCGCACGATGTACCGAACTCGGTCTGCCAGGTTTTGCTCAGTGACGGATAGAGATGGCTCCAGCTCTGCAAAAAAGGCGATGCATCCGAGCCCGATGTGCCAAACATCCGGGTTCTTCCCCTTTTGCCCTAAAGTACGCCCGCAGTGCGTTTGCGTTCATTGTTTGTGACCAACGCATGCGACGTGCTCCGCCAGCGGCGGGTGCCGCTTGCTGAGTCCGAGAAGACCCAGCCGACACCAAGCCTTCTGGTGGGGATGATGGATGCGGAGGGCTGCTAGGTGATCGTACAGCTCCTCGCGCTCGGCTGGCGGGCCGCATGCTGCCGCGTCCAGCGCCAGCTCCAGACGCGCCCCGGCGACCCCGCAGGCAGGCGGCCCTATGCGCGTTCCTCTTTGTACCATCATCCATTTATGGGCGCCAAATAACGGGAGACGCCCAAGCCCGCCACCGTTTCGTGGTTCGGTCATATGCACAAACTGACCCACCCACAATTTTGCCTAGGCACGGCGCTCACACCTCTTGGCAGGGCGCTGACTGACTGCGCTGACGTAGTAGTTTTGTCACATAACTGTTACGCCAGCGGGCGATGGGGTCGTCACTTCCCTTCGCCTTTATATTATTATTATTATTATTACGTAATTCTGCATTTTATTGTGAACATTAAAATTTTCAGGATTTTGCTAGTGAAGCTTCAAGTTCCTCGACCCATGAAAATCTATCGATTCAGTCAGATGACAGTGATGACACAAATAAACAAAACCCTGTAAGTGTAATTTATTGTGTTATTGAATTTTACTATTTAACATATAAACATAATTATTTAAGTTATCTGGTAGAGCCATGTTGCAGCTATGTTATACTTGTATCACGAAATCACGAATGAGTTGGCTCAACTTGGGTAGAACAGGTACCTACGGCAAAGAGCTTACTCGCACGCACCTGCCATGTCTATGAACACTTCTAGGGACCCCATAACACAACACATTATTTAAGTTGATACAGTCGAACTTAAGCCGTGGTAGGTCAGATGGTTAACGCTCTCTGTAAATATAACAGAACGCGAGTAAGCCGGGTTCGAACCCCGAGGGCACCAATGAAATTATTAATTGCAATTTTAAGTGCTGATTTACCACGTGCTCGGCGGTGAAGGAAAACATCGTGAGGAAACCTGCATGTCTGAGGAATAAGAAAAAAAATATTTCGAAGACATGTGAAGTTCGCCAACACGAATTGGGGCAGCGTGGCGGACACTTCCTTGCCCTAAAACCCAGAAAGAAGGGAGGCCTATGCCCAGTAGTAGGATGTATGTAGGCTGTAACTTTTACCACATGCTCGACGTTGAACGAAAACATTGTGAAGAAACCTGCATGTCTGAGAAATAAGAAATAATATGTTTCGAAGGCATGTGAAGTTCGCCAACACGCATTGAGGCAGCACGGCGATCACTTGCCCTAAAACCTTCTCAGAAATGAGAGGAGGCCTGTGCCCAGCAGTGGGATGTAGTCTGTAACCTTTAACTTTTAAACTTTTAGTAAAACTTGTATCTTACTATATGGAACAATGTCATAGCCTCTAATTGCTTACGTCTAGAGTGGTGAGTTAAAAGTTTGTATTTATTGAGTAACTGGTATAACTTTGTAAATAAATGCTTTGAAATATACCAGCATACTAGCGATCTGCCCGGGCTTCGCAAGGGTGATTTCAGGATCTCGACAGTTAAAACTTACATACAGTGTACTCAATACAAATTTAATACAAACCTAAAAATTTAATGAACTACTGTCGATATTCGACCCAATGGACAACCACTTATATACATATTAATGTTTTAGTTAAAATTTGGTTTAGTATTAGTATTATTTTACTTTTTTTTTAATTTGCTGTAGGAAAATAAAAATGAAGCATCATTCAAACGACGAGCTTTAAAAGATTTTAACATTGAAGCAAATTTGAAGACATCGCGCAAACTACATTCAGAGGAACGCATAAAAACATTACAGCAAGACGTGGAGAGACAGGGGCGAAAAATTAATGACGTGAATTCGCACATCAATTTGGTCCAGGATTATTCTCATTCTGAAAGTGATTGGAGTGAAAGTGAGTTCTCACAGTCTGAAATTATAAACATTGTGCGCGGTAACTTTGCTAACATTTGTAAAAATTTCAGAAAGTCTGTAAGGTCTGACAGCTCGCGACATGTTATACTCCCGTTCACTCGGGACCGTAATGACGGGAAAATTTGCAAGTTAGCAAATTTTTTGCTATATTGCAAATTTTGCTATATTTTCACTTTGAGACAATATTTATGGATAAAATTCACAGGAATTCTTGTTGAATGTATAAACTATCGAATAAAATTATTTTTGGTTGCTAGAAATTGTAATAAAATACATAAATTACCCTGTATAGCATAGTAGTAGTATATACTTCAATTTTAGTGACAAAATTACTACTAATTTGAATTCTACACTTTTGTTTTTGGAGAAATTTATATGAAAATGTTTGGAAATATGTATATTTTTATGTTTTATGTGTTTCCATTCGTTACTCATACCAAAATATTAAAATATTAAAAATTTAAAAAAAAATAATAATATTTTATCTGTATGACATTTCGAACAATATTTCAAAAATATTTTTGTGTGAATTTGAAATAAATACAACGTCAAGTTGTTTGAAATATGTAAGAAAACTATTTTTACTTACATTTTACACTAAAAATAAATGAGAATTTGAAAAATAACACATTTATGACCCAACCGCCAAAATGGGCCTTCCGGATTTTGAAGTACTTTTGGCAGTTTACTTTAAACTTTTTATACCACAAATTATATATCTACGTGTTTACTATATTACAAGGAATATAAAAAAGTATAATACTTTCGTTTTTAGTCCAGACACAAATATAAAATTCTATAAAAAAGACGGAGCACCTTCATCAAAGCGACACGTGGAACGCCGAAAGTTCAGAGTGATTTCTTTTTTTTTTTCTAAGAAACATTGCCAGGTTATGGTTTAAAATAAAAGAGCATATCTTTGTCTTTGATACTATTATCTATTGCATATTGTCTTTGGTTTTGTTTTAAAGGAAAAAATAGTTTTTTCATAAGGCAATACTTCTGATCCGACCTGATCTAATCCGACCCGTACTAGAGCCGACGTAAGGTAGGTATTGTATGATCTGATCAGACCCGTAGCCGAGTGAACGAGCAGCCAATACCGTTAGTATTACAACCTATTAAGGTCCTCTGCTGAAAATAGCCCCCCCCCCCATAGATTGCCTCATAGGAGGGATAATTGTCATAGTTGCCACGCTCGGCAAGCGGGATGGTTTCACAGTTTTTTTTTTATTCAATATTAGAATTACACTGCAATTTTTCAAAAACTGTTCTTGTTTTTATTTGCAATTTTTCACTTCTTGCATTAATTTTTTCTTAGTCTATACTTCAAAAGCTGCAGCTATATTACTAGTACAGTTGTAGCAAGAATCGGTCGGCTTGACCGAGGCAGGACGATACTCTCACAGAATACCAGCATAACATAGTAGCTTAACGCTATTGTGTTTCGTATAGTGAATGTAGAGAACCGGAGACCCTTTTTGCTTGAAATGAAGTATTCTATTTTAGTCATCACAGGTAATAACGTATCTGCATTTTTATTCGTAATCGAGGATAAATGTAGATGTCTATGGGCCACAGCAACCATTTGCCATCAGGTGGATTGTGTACTCATATGTCACTCTTTAAAAAAAATTGTTCCCCGCTGTCGCGTCTTACGACACCCACGGGACGATATGGGGTATTGGGTATTCTTACACCGTTACTACAAGTTTTTTTTTTAAACCATTAAAAGGCTTAGCATTAACGTGGGAATTTTATTCGTCCAAAGCATATAGCTTGTGTGGAAAATATGTATTGCTATGCAGTCCGTTTTTTTTTTTTTTTGAAAGAGAATATTAACAATGCTATAAACATTACTAATATTCCCCTTACCACTCGTGGTAAGCTTAAATTGCTTGTGTTACGAGTGGTTCACGCCAGTAGTCGAATGGTGGATTCGAACCCACGACCTTTTTTTTGATTTCGCGGTCCGCGCCTACCATTAGGCTACTGTCGCTGTTTGTCACAAGGTTATGTATATTACTGTCTTGTCGGTCTAGTTGCTGAAAGTTCGACTGATGATGCAGCGTTAAATAGCGGCATAATGCTGCTGTTTCGTATGGTGAGTGTAGGGAACCGGGGACACTTTTTACTGATAATAAGGCATTCCATTTTAGTCCTCAGAGGTGACTACGCATCTGCATTTTAATTCTTAATCGAGGATAAATGTAGATGTGTATGGATGGGCCACAGCAACCACTTACCATCAGGTGGACTGTGTGCTTGTTTGTCATCCTTATTATATATAAACTAAAAGAAATTTAATATAGTTGCCCATAGTCCCGTAGTGCCCGTGCCTCGGAAAGCACATAAAGCCGATGGTCCTGCGCGTGATCTCTCTCCGTTCGTGTCGGTTCACCGTCCCATCGAACTTCACATAGTTTGATAGTGAGGGAATAGAAAGTGCACCTGTGCTTGCGCATACACTTGGTATTATAATACTGTCCTGCGCAGATGGCTAGTCTTCGTTGAGTCTGGTCGCCGTGACGGAAATTCTGTCTGGAGGACATTATTATTATTATAGATTTTATATCGTACTAGGTTAGTAACTTGAAATTTTCAAAATTGTCGAACAACAAAACCCTAGAAATGTTTCTACGCAAGAGACCTCGTAAAACAAGTATACTTTTCATCACTTTTTTCCTATACTATCACAGAAACGGTAATTTTTATTTATTAAATACAGCCCTTCACAAGTCCACTGCTGAACATAGGCCTTCCTCAAGGAATGCCACAAAACAATGTCCTGATCCTCCTGCATGTCTTGGCTGGTCGTCACCCCATCTTCTGGGGGGACGCTCTACACTTCGCCTACCAGTACGAGGCTGCCACTCGAGAATCTTTCTTCCTCATCGTTTGTCGGTTCTTCGAGCTTTATGGCCAGCCTATTGCCACTTCAGCTTACTAATCCATTGGGCTATGTCTGAGGTTATTTATTTGTTATTTTCGTTTTGACAAAAGTAATAATTATGGATTCATTAGATGGTGACGGTGATGGTGAAACGGTGATCTTCATAGGAAGATGTAAATGTTGCCTTAATGGGGGAGACTTAAAGAATTTGTGGACGCCGTATACGTTTGAAGGAGAAACCGAAATTTATGGAATGATGTTGACAGAATGTTTTGCTCTATCAGTAAGTAAAATCGCTTGTTTCGTTTTTATGGGCTGTAGTTATTGATAATATCTTATTTAATCACTTGCTCAGTACCAGATTTTCTAATAGGAATCATCGTAACCTTATAGTTATTATATTTTAAAACAAAATCTTAAAAGGCTGTAGTTTCCATTATTGTTGAAGAAGCTCAAAAAGTTTTAACATTTATAATTTATACTGGTGATGGTTGTCACATAGTGAAACTTTAGATTCTTTTTTTTGTGTTGTGTATTATATATAGTGCCGGTTGTTTCCAATAGTTAGTAAATTAATAATTAAGTACTTTCACTCCGATTTTCAGACAATAGCAATGATCTACATGCAGTACATGGAACAGCAAATGAGTTAAATATTGTGAAACAAGTACAAGCATTTATCCAAATCACAAAAATAAGAATATTTTGTTTTGTTACCTCTTTCTTACTTTCGATTTATACAAAATAATTCTATAAAAATACCTTAAGTAAATCTATACCATGAAGATACAGCCTCTTAATGTAACTCCTGTGCAAGAAAAATCATGGAGAGCGTAAGACTGCCAAGTCTACTATAACTAGTTTGTTATATTAGAGGTTTGAACACTAATAACATTAGTGTTCAAACCTCTAATAGGCATCTCAGTAGGCAATACTACTATTTTCAATAAAGGCTGACTATAGTGTGAAGCTGTTTTCTAACATATCTTTTGTCATGATATTCCAGTGGCAGCAACCAGAGGACAACATGAAATGTATGGATATGATATGCACCTCTTGTATCTCTCGGTTACGTGATGCACTTGCCTTCAAAAGAGAAGTTTTAGTGAGTGAAGAGGTGCTGCATGAAAAACAAGATGGAATGTAAGTATATACATTTATGTACCTGGTGTATAGGTATAATTAATCAATATGACTGCCAGGGCATAGAAACCGGAAAAAAATTTATAAGTACGGCTTTCAGTCACTGAGAGGAGCCTTAAGAGAGACTATTATCTGTTCAGTATAGAATTATAGTACATAAGTGTGTGAGTAAACACAGTTACACTCTATTTCCTTGCTCTTATGGTCTGATGGGTGGCCAATTAATCACCACCGGGAAATACCACCAATTTTTTAACTTAGAGCTGTTGTTGCTGAGAACTGATGCTAGATTCAGGATTCGAACCTGGCACCTCGTGATCATCAAAGTGCTTGTTTTGTACAAAGTGCTTTTATTTTGTAATTTTTAACAGATCTCTGCAATGGCCTTCTAATAACAATTCTGCAATAAAACTAAATGTATTAAATTTACTACACCGAATGTTAATAATCTGAGAGCTAGGGAAGAGCTGAGCCCTGTTCGAATCCACTGTTTTTCTTAGCATCACTTTGGACGTAAAGCTTCAATCAAAGCTTCAATCCTTATATATCTAAACTATCAAGCAAATTAAGCACAGCAGCTTATTCTGTAAAAAATATTAAGATGTCTCAGTAGTGTCGAGACAGCTAGATTCGTTTATTTCAGTTATCTCCATAACATAATGCCTTATGGGATTTTGCTGTTGGGAAATACGGCTGATTTAGAAACTATTTTTGTTATGCAGAAGAGGCCTACAAAAAATATTCACACCCTAGAACTGAGTCTCTTAGAGAAAAATTAAAAGATACAAAAATATTAACTTTGGTCTCCTTAGTATATTTATGAAAATTTCATGTATGTACACAAAAACAAAGGTAGTTTTAGAAATAAAAGTAATATACACTCTGTAAACGTTACGAACGGAACATACCTAAGATAGTAATTCATTCTTGGAGCAATGTATACTCTATTACAAGATAGTCCCAGATAGTATACAGGTTTTCTATTACCCAGAAGAAAAGGGTTATAACAATATAAATGAATACATGGTTGATAATAAATAATGTTGAGCCGATTAGTACTTTGGCCGATCAGCCGATTAGCCGAATAATCGGTTAATAAATTGCCGATTAATCGGCCCAGCCGATCCCTATCCGGTGATATATTCGAATGGTGGAACAAAAATTCTTCCAGATATCCAGAAATGTCCCGTTAGCCAAAGTTTTCCTTTGCTGCCCCGCCAGCCTTATGTATAGTGAGAGTGTAGTACTCTGTGTAGAGTGAGTGTGTATGAGTTTTTCTGAGGCAGGGAATATCTAGTATCTACGAAACAAAAAGAAATCGACTTCAACCAGAAAAGGCTGCGATTTTGACTTTGTTGCGTCATTCTTTGCCACTGGTTAAAAATAACAAATAAATAAATAATTTTCTAAAAAGCCTTCAAAACTTTTTCAAAATGAGTATTTATTTTTAACAAATTATTAGATGGTTATAGATTCTTTCTTTAATAATATTACAGGAAAAAAACAATTTATTGTAATTTTAAGTACAGAAAAATAACAATTTGATTTAATTTTTAGTACATAAAACAATAACAATTTTTTTGTAGTTTTACGTATGGAAACAAGCATGTTCTATTTGTCTTTTAAAAATCTATATGCGTGTAGTTTAACAAACTTTATTTAAGAATTAAATTTTTTTGTTATGCAAAGGGTGAGACTTAAATTTTTTTTAAAGTTTATTAAGAATAATATTATTAATATTTTATTTTGTTGTGTCACTATTCTGCATTACGATTAGAAAAAGTTAAAAAGTAGAATTAAAATAGTAAGTACTTAGGTTTTTGTTTAGTTTTAAATAGCTACCTCAGATTCTTGTTTTTACTAAAGTTCCTATGTCCAGAATAATTAACACTAAAACATGTGAGACTGATTTTTCAATAAAAGTTATGTATGAGCCTACTTATTTTATTATTCATTTGACTTACTACATATAAATCTGACGTCAGTTTACGCATGGGAGAAAAACTATACTTTTCTTACTTTTAAAGCTTTACTGTAGCCGCAGTTACCACGCAGAAAATCACGAAAGACCTTTGCTGAAATTAATAAAACAGAAAGCCGATTAATCGACCGACTATAAATAGGCCGGTTAATCGGCTTCACCAATTAGTCCGCGGCTAATCGGCCCAACTCTAATAATTACCCCTGGGAATAAGGTGGTGGTTTCCAAGCTGTTCCTAAAATAAATTTTGTAAATAGTTTGTAACCATTTAATATTGTAATTTTTTTTAAATAAAAGCCACTAGGTATCTTGCTGCTCGTTCTTACCAGGGCAAAAATAAATAAATCATCATCATCATCATCATTACAGCCCATCACAAGTCCACTGCTGAACATAGGCCTCCCCCAAGTAATGCCACAAAGCACGGTCCTGAGCCACCTGCATCCATCGACTTCCTGTATGTCTTACCAGGTCGTCACTCGCATCTAGTGGGGGTGTCGCCCTGCACTTCGCCTACCGGTACGAGGCTGCCACTCGAGAACCTTTTGTCCCCAACCAAGTATATATATATATATATATATATATATATATATATATATATATAAAAGTGATATGGTAAAATTGCATAGAGATTATACAGATATTTTAAAGAAAAGGAATCAGCTCCAGGGGACAGTCGTTGAGTGTTACCGATGCAACAAAGAATATGAGGAAGCCCTTAGATTTGTTGCGTTGCAAATACGGTAAACTGAAGCTAATGAGCAGTTTCACAATTTAAATAGTACATTGATAACTTGCTAGAATATCAAAGTCAGAGGCTGGTTGATGAGCTCGTAGAATGTAAAAATGTATATATATTTATATATATATATATATATATATATATATATATATATAGTTTTTTTTATTCCAGTATTTCATTATACTACAGTGAAAGAGGGGAATTATTTAAAAGAGGAAGAGGAAGAAGAAGAAACAGAGTTTAAAGAAGTGGAATACTTAGAGATCACCGACAGTTTAAACAAAGATGAATCTCTCTCAGATGGTAGGATTTCAAGTATTTTTCTGTTAGTGTAGTGTAGTGCTAAAAATTATGATAATCTTATGAAACCTTAATGTCTCTATAGGTGCAGATAAATCTCTCAGGATGTCTATAAATCATTGGAACTATAATGAATGGGCTTTGGTGATGATGATAATATCATTGTCAGTTTTGAGGTGCACTTTGTACAAGCTTACCAGATGATGCCCTAATCAACATGTTTGGTTTATTTTTTAAGTTTATCATTGTAAGGGTGAATTTTCTCCTTACAATTAAATCGTAACACTTTATTCACTTGGCTTCATTCATTATCAAGAGTTCACAACTGAACATAGGCCTTCCCCATAGGTTGTTTTATAGGATGGATATTAGCCACAGCTTTACTCGTTTCGGGAAAGGATGGGTATGTGTGGTTTTACAGTGACGCTTTCGCCAGCGCGGTTGATAAGCGTCGCGAGCCACGAGCGTTGCGTCTCTTGGATCGTTACATAGTTTAACTGTTCGCGACGGCCTAACAACGCTAAGAAACTATGTGATAAATAATATTGTTTTTCGCATTAATAGTGAAATTACCGACAAAACTGGGTGAAAACGTGTATTAATATAGTTGTGTAGCATGTTTACAACTCTTAGTATTTTTGTATAGATTGTCGTTTTGATAACAATTGATATAAACAACTTTTATTATATTAAGAAAAATCAGCCAATCGCAGCGCGTCTTGTCGTAGAACTCTCTAGAAGTTTTTAATTAACTGCGTAATAGTTCATACTAAAAATAATGAAAATAATTTTATGTTCTAAAAGAGTTGTAAATATGACATTAAATTAGCATATACTTATAGTTAAAGTGTAGGAATATTTTGTATAATTAAACGCATTTCGTAGTTATAGGAAAATCAAAGAATTAATGTACCCAAATATTATGAAAATTAAAGTACCAGACTACCGATTTGATGATGTACAGCATGTTAGTGTAGCAATTAGTTTTGTATAGAAAATATTGTAATTTATGCCATTTGCATAGTGAAAGTTTATGCAATAAAGAGGCAAAACGGAAAATGGCAAGCGGCTTACTGTAAAGTATAGCCAAAGTCTACCTTAGGGGCTCGGGACCCAGTGGTAGTGTAATAGTGTGAAGAACTACCAGTGACAAGCAGTAGTATCCGGTAGTAGCTGAAGTGACTAGTAGCAGTATATAGTGAATAGTGAAAGTGTTAGCTAGCCGAAAAGGTCGTAACTGATATTCGAGTTATATGTGAAAGTGTTAGCTAGCCGAAAAAGGTCGTAACTGACATTCGCAGTTACATATAGTGAAAGTGTTAGCTAGCGAAAAGGTCGTAATGACATTCGCAGTTAATATAGTAAGTGTTAGCTAGCCGAAAAAGGTCGTAACTGATATTCGCAGTTACATATAGTGAAAGGGTTAGCTAGCCGAAAAAGGTCGTAACTGATATTCGCAGTTACATATAGTGAAAGTGGTAGCTGATATCCGCAGTTACACAAGTGATAAAATCAGCTAGTTTAGTTGATAATAGCTGCTAGTCAGTAGTGTTAGAAAACCAGCTACTACCAATAGATATTTTTGTCTTTTTTTTATTTATTGATACTACCGTACAATTTTAAAGAAATCTTTTGAAACGTACAGTGACCAACCAATAGTGAACAACCATAGTTGAACAACCGTGATCAATAAACAATAGTTATAAAATTTCGCGACTAATCAATCAGTCGAACCGCTGGCCACTACCTTGCTATTTGTATTTATTAATCGTGCATTTTGATTTGAACCTCAGTCCACAATATCTCAGCGGCACCGACAAAGACGGCAGTTAAAGTACCCACCGGAACCTATAGGTGTAGGACGTGAGCGACTCGCGAAGTATCTTCGACAACATTTACTCCGGAGAGTTTCGCCCGTCCGGCACATTAACTCACACACGCGGATGGCCCGCGCTGCGGCATTCAGCCGCGCGTTTCAACAGTTACGAAACCGCGCGACTCTAAGCTCGTTTTATAGTTTCGAGCGGGTCATCCGCGCGTTTACGGGCCGCGCTTACCAACCGCGCTGACGAAAGCGTCACTGTAAAACCACACTTATGTTGAACTCGCACCGACTAAAACTCTATTGTGTTCCACCGCATCCGCAGCCCTATGGTGGTCTCTCTTTCTTCGGGGGGCCTTCCTCGGTTCTACTCACCTGTTTCCATTTTAGTTCTTACGGGTGACAATGTATCTGTACTTTGATTTGTAATCAATGATAGATGTAGATGTCTATGGGCCACAGCAACCACTTATAATCAAGTGGAGTGTCCAATGTTGCCTTCTTTATTTTAAAGGCACAGTTTTGTTGATCCCTATCGACCATCGCCTCGTGAAAAATGATGACATATATCTTATGCAAAATTAACTTTAAAACGAAATAAATTTCCTGTAGCTAAAATACAGAATGTATTTAATTGATTTTTGTTGTTTGTTAATATAATTATATATAGAATTGCTGGTACCATTTATTGTATTTAACGTAGCACCATCCTGTATAATATTAATCTTAATTTAAAAACATGCAACTACGGCCGGTTAAAGACAGATGATATGAAATTTTTTATGGTTTCTAGAACAATGGCTGGATTCAGATACTTCCCTGCTAGTAGAACGTAAAAGAAAGTTGTCAAAAAAGCTCTCAAAGGAAGAGAGGAACAAAACATGCAAGCGGTATACTGCGGAGGAACTACAAATGGCCATTGATGCAGTCCAGAACAATGAAATGTCGCATGCAGAAGCGGCTGAGTGTTTTAATGTGCCGAGGCGAACTATCTCTGCTAAGATCCACAGTATTATAGACAAAGAAGAGGGTAAGTTTGAAAAACCAAATACTAGTGTGCTAATTATATTGCTAATATTCCCCTTTAACCCCTTAGTAAAATTTAAAATGCTTGTCTTCTTTTATAAAATGATTGATTCGCTCTGGCTTTTTGGATCTCGATAACATATGCATGAATTATGCATATAAACATATCTCCTCCTCATTATGTCTGTTGATAATCGCATAAAAATCCATTACGTGTTTTAAAAGTTTGCCGTGTAGTGGCGGTTAAGAATATCCACTACCCCATATCTTCCCGTGGGTGTCGTAAAAAGCGACAGAGGGAGACAGGCAGGAGATGGGCAGCAGCATCTTCCTGATAACAGCAACTGTACGACAAAAAAAAACTGCGGTTGCCAACCCGCTCGCCAAGCGTGGCAACTATGGCAATATACCCCCCATGAACAATTACACAAATAGACGGCCCCCAGTCCCCGGCGGCCCCGCTAACGGGTAAGGCGGGGCAGGGGGTGCTAAGAATCTCCGGTGGAGGTTCGGTTGCCACCTACGACGACTCGACCTGGCAACATTTAACGCACGCACACTGAGGACTGACGAGAAGATCCTGGAGCTGGAAGAAGAGATAGACAAGTTGCGCTGGAGTATTATAGGATTATCCGAGGTCCGAAGAGAGGGGGAGGACACGGTGATTCTCGAATCCGGCAACTTGTTCTATCACCGGGAAGGCGACCATATGTCCCAAGCAGGTATCGGATTTATCGTCCACAAGTCTCTCGTCAACAACGTTGTAAAAATTGGGAGTGTGTCGACGAGGGTCGCGTACCTGATACTCAGAATTACCAAACGGTATTCGCTGAAGGTCATACAGGTTTACGCACCAACCTCCGGTCACGTTCCGATGAGGAGGTGGAGGAAATGTATGAGGATACTTCCAAAGCCATGCATTCCTCCAAAACCCACTACGCGGTGTTGATGGGAGACTTCAACGCAAAACTAGGCACAAGAGAAAACGGTGAGCTGAAGTTAGGGAAATTTGGAGTAGGGCAACGGAACCGAAGGGGCCAGCAGCTGGCCGACTTTATGGAGAAAGAGGGACTCTTTATGATGAACTCTTTCTTCCAGAAGCGACCCCACAGGAAGTGGACCTGGTCGAGCCCCGACGGTTCGACAAAAAATGAGATTGACTCCATTATGACGACCGGACGCCAACTGTTCGGTGATGTCTCAGTGATCGCAAGGGTGAAAACTGGCAGCGATCACCGAATGGTTAGAGACACACTGAACCTAAACGATAAGTTGGAGAGGTCATGTTTAATGAAGTCAACGCTCCGTCACCCTCATGCTCTAATCCAAATTCCCGAAAACTTTCAGCTCGAGTTACACAACCGCTTTCAGTGCCTACAAGATTGCAATGCAGTGGACGATATGAATGACAAGCTCGTGGAAACTGTCCATGCGGTCGGAGCTAAGTTCTGCAAGACCCGCTGCAGAAGAACACAAAAACTCTCCGATCACACTCTTAATCTCATGGCTGTTAGACGGGAGATGAGGCTGCAATCGTCAACAGATTTGACAGCATACAGGCAACTGAACAGACAGATCTCCAAATGCATGCGGCGAGACTTACGCAACTTTAATACTGCTCGTATTAAAGAAGCGATCGAGCGGAACCAGGGCTCCAAAGTCTTTGCCAGAGATCTGTCTGCCGTAAAGAGCCAACTGTCAAGGCTGAAGACTGAGTGTGCCAGCATCGGTTCCGGGACACCTGAGATTTTGAGTAAGATTGAGAGGTTCTATGGGCAGCTGTACACATTATCGTTGGAGCCACATGCAAGTGTGAGTAACGATCCAAGAGCAAGTCTTATCCGACACTATTCCGATGATATCTCGGACGTCAGTCTAAGCGAGATTAGAATGGCTCTCCAGCACCTTAAAAACGGCAGGGCCCCAGGCGAGGATGGAATTACAGCGGAGCTTCTGAAAGCGGGTGGAACACCGGTACTTGAAGTCCTTCAGAAGCTCTTCAATTCCGTCCTCCATGGTGGCACTACTCCAGAGGCGTGGAGCAGAAGTGCGGGTGTCTTGTTCTTTAAGAAAGGCGACAACGCTCTCTTGAAGAACTACAGACCGATTTCCCTTCTGAGCCGCGTCTACGTGCTGTTTTCGAGAGTCATTACGAATCGTCTCGCACGCAGACTCGACGACTTCCAGCCTCCCGAACAAGCCGGTTTCCGAAAAGGCTTCAGTACCGTAGACCACATACATACCCTGCGGCAGATTGTACAGAAGACTGAAGAGTACAATTTGCCACTTTGCCTGGCGTATGTGGACTATGAGAAAGCCTTTGATTTCGTCGAAATTTGGGCAGTGCTGCAATCCCTTCAGCGGTGCCAAGTTGACTGTCGGTATATTGAAGTGCTGAAGTGTTTGTACAGTAGGGCTACGATGGCTATCCGAGTACAGAACCAGAGCTCGAAACCTATCCAACTGCAGAGAGGTGTAAGACAGGGTGACGTTATATCCCCGAAACTCTTCACCGCTGCTTTGGAAGACGTTTTCAAGCTACTGGACTGGAAAGGATACGGTATTAACATCAATGGCGAGTACATCACTCACCTTCGATTTGCCGACGATATAGTCCTTATGGCAGAATCGCTGGAGGACTTAAGCACTACGCTCAATGACCTCAATAGTGCCTCCCAACGGATAGGTCTTAAGATGAACATGGACAAAACAAAGATCATGTTTAATGTCCATGTCACACCTATGCCGGTAGTTGTTGGGAGCACTATGCTCGAAGTTGTTGACGAGTACGTTTACCTGGGACAAATAGTCCGACTAGGTAAGTCCAACTTCGACCGAGAGGTCAATCGACGGATTCAACTCGGCTGGGCAGCGTTCGGGACATTACGACACATCTTCTCGTCAGGTATACCTCAATCTCTGAAAACTAAAGTGTACAACCAGTGCGTGTTGCCAGTGATGACTTACGGATCGGAGACGTGGTCCTTCACTGCTGGCCGTATGAGGACGCTCAAGGTCGCTCAGCGAGCTATGGAGAGGGCTATGCTCGGAGTTTCTCTGCGTGATAGACTCAGAAATGAGGATATCCGCAGTAAAACCAGAGTGACCGACATAGCCCAACGGATTAGTAAGCTGAAGTGGCAATGGGCCGGCCATATAGCTCGAAGAACCGATAACCGATGGGGAAGAAAGGTTCTCGAGTGGCAGCCTCGTACCGGTTGGCGTAGTGTAGGGCGACCCCCCACTAGATGGAGTGACGACCTGGTAAGATATGCAGGAAGTCGATGGATGCAGGTGGCTCAGGACCGTGCTTTGTGGCATTATTTGGGGGAGGCCTATGTTCAGCAGTGGACTTGTGAAGGGCTGTGATGATGATGATGATGATGGTTTAAAAGATCTAAGCGTACTGACGGCGAGAAGCGACTTTGTTTTATACCATGTAGAGATGAGGGGTAATAAGCGAACAATCAGTCCACCTGATGCCAATGTTTTGGCCAAAAACATCTACATCTATCCTCGATTAAAAGAATAAAATGCAGATGCGTTGCACCCCTGAGGACTAAGATGGAATGCCTCATTTGCAGTAAAAAGAGTGTCCGGTTCTCTACACTCACCATATGAAACACAGCTGCATTAAGTTGCTATTTTATTTTGATATTTAATACAGTATGGTCCTCCACGAAAAAATCAGCATATAGCATAATATACGAGGGCTGTTCAAAAAGTATCGCGAATTTTGAATTTACGTGGGCTACGTATATTTGATTTTTGATTTTTTTTGTGGCCTTATGTTGGTACTCATGCCCTTTACTTATGCTGAGAAGGTCGGCCATTTTGAATGTTTAGTTAATTTTTGACTGTTTTGGTTGGATGTGTTTTGGCTCGTCTACGATTTTTGCCTATTCCAAAAATGGATTAAAGGATCTGTATTAAATTTTGTATGAAAAACAAAATAAAGTGCGCGGATGCATTCCGAATGTTAACTGTGGCTTATGGTGAAGCTACCTTGAACTATAGCAACGTTTATGGGTGGCACAAAATGTTCTCAGAGGGCCTAGAAAATGTGAACGAACAGTGCCGGACGGCCACGCATGTTAACAACAGATGATAACATTGATAAAGTGGAGAAAATATTATTGGCCAATCGTCGAATCACCATTAGAGATATTGCTGAGCACCTAAACATATCGATTGGCTCGTGCCATTCGATCGTAAGTAATGATTTGGGCATGAGTCGTGTCACCGCCAAATTCGTGTCAAAATTGCTCAATTTAGACCAAAAACAGCATCGCGTTAACATTGCTCAGGAGATATTGGGCCGGTTCGAGACGACCCAAATGAGTTCTAGAGGGTCATAACTGGTCTTATGGTTATGACGTGGAAATCAAAGCTTAAACATCCCAATGGAAGCTGCCGCATGAACCAGGACCGAAAAAAGCGCGCCAAGTTCGGTCGAACGTGAAAGTTTTACTCACAGTTTTCTTCGATCGCAGGGGCGTGATGCATCATGAGTTCTTGCCACAGGGTAGTACGGTCAATAAGGAATATAACCTGCAAGTTATGCGCAATTTGCGCGAAGCAATCCGCCGGAAACGCCTGGATTTGTGGGAGAACAAAAACCGGCTTTTGCACCACGATAACGCCCCTGCTCACACATCGTTGCTTGTGCGCGAATATTTATCCAATAACAACATAGTAATGGTCCTACAGCCACCGTATTCACCAGTCCTCGCCCCCTGTGACTTTTTCCTGTTCCCAAAAGTGAAGAGGCCCATGAAAGGACGACGCTACGTCACGATTGTGGAGATAAAGACGGCATCGAAGGAGGAGCTGATGAACATCACGAAAAATGATTTTTTTAAGTGCTTCGAGGATTGGAAAAAACATTGGCACAAGTGCAATTATATCCGAGGGGGATTACTTTGAAGGAGACAAAATAGATATTCATGAAAATACTTTTTGAAAAAATACAAAATTCGCGATACTTTTTGAACAGACTGTGTAGTCATAACATAGCTCCAGCATGGCTTTTGTGATAGGAGTGCTTCACGATTCACGACTGTAGTCGAATGGTGAATTTGAACCCACGACCTTCAGTTTAACCATTAGACTAGCTTCCCTTAATAAATTAATTTCTGAGTGGGAGTTGTGAGGTGATGCATATATACAATGGTGATTTGTTTGAGACATCTGGCCTTCATCAGACATAACTCTGTTTTTGACACAACTACAATTTCGAGTTACTACACTCTTTAGTTGTAGTGAATCTGTAAGGGATTTACAACTTGCATATATATAACATAAACATATGAAAAGAATTTACGTGGGTAATTATTAATTTTAATATACTTGTAGTGGCTGTGTAAGAATACCTACTATCCTATATATTATTTCGGCTAATCTTAAATTGCTCACTCCTTTACACTGTACTGGTTACTTTTCTCTCTCTTTCGCCCTCACGGCCCTCAGACTCTGGAACAACATCCCTCTTGACAATAAAAAAGCTCCCAACAAGTTTATTTTTAAAAATCAAGTCCGTAAGCATGTGAAAAAATTGTTGGGCGTAGTGTAGGGCGACCCCCCACTAGATGGAGTGACGACCTGGTAAGACATGCAGGAAGTCGATGGATGCAGGTGGCTCAGGATTAGTTAAACATTTTTATGCACTGATTATTTATCAAATTAGTTATACTAATTCCGGAAGAATTGTTGTTGTGGTCACAGTACAAATCCATGTACGCAAAGACTTTAATGTGCTTGAAATAAAGTTCCTTTTTCTTTATTTTTATTGAATGACAGGTAATAATACAAATAAAACTGCACTTTTAAAAGTCTTATTGCCTTAAGTTACGGTTCATTTTAGTTTGTTTTGACTGTACAGATTTAGTGTGACTGTAATTTACGTAGTCTTAATTATTTTTGGGATAAAAAATTACCTATATTAAAAATGATAGGAATCGATTCAGTAAACGATTCTGAACAAACTACTTTCTCAAAGTGCGTTAATTATGTTACGTGTTGTATATATAAACTAAACTTAACCCTTTCTATTTTTATTATTGCTGCACCGCCTCTTTATATGTGCATTCTGCCATATGTACTACTTTGTGCGTGAAAGCATAAATAAATAAATATTATCCCGTGTCATAAGAAGTGACATAAGGGAACAAATCAAAGGGCATCTGCCTAATGATGACTGAAAATTAAAAAAAAACTGGTTGGCAACTATTGAATATGGATATCCCCCTACGCAGCAATCTATGGGGGAGGCCTACGTTCAGCAGTGTACTGTAACAGGCTATAACGGTTACTTTATTTTTTGACGCATAGAATTTTTTTTATAGCATAGGATGACAAATGAGCACACAGTCCACCGTTACCACAGATGGTAAGTGGTTGCTGTGGCCCATAGACATTTACATCTATCCTCTCTATGCAGATATCATCTATGCAGATGCGTCGTCATCCATGAGGACTAAGATGGAATTCTTCATTTCCAGTAAAATGGGTATCCGGTTCTCTACACTCACGATACGAAACACAGCAGCATTAATTGACGCTGGTATTCTGTGAGAGCGTGGTCCTTCCCCGGTCGAGCCGACCTATTCATGCTACAACTATACTACTAATATAACTGCAGCATGGCTCTACCACGTCAAAATAGAATTACAATTTCTTTTATTCAAAGGTTCAATATACGCGTCAACACCATGTTTTCATAATGTACTGCCATTTCAAAATGAGGTTCTTTTGTCTGGAGAAGAAAAGTCGAAAGTATCTCTGCAGACTGCTGATCATGAGGTCATGGATTTGGGTCCCAGGTTAGGACAAAATAATTAGGTTTACATTTCAAGAAATTCTTACTAGCAGACGCGAATCAGTAAGTGACAGTGTTTGACCCCCGTGCCTCGGGAAGCATATAAAGCCATTGGGCTTCCGCCTGATCTCTCTCCCGTCTTGTTGTATTACCATCTCATCGGACTATGAGAGTAAGGTTATATAACATGTTACAAAAACCCTGTGGTTCCCGTTAAGTGAGTTACCAGAATCAGTATTCAAGTGTATAGGAGTATTTTATCCAAAAAAAAAAATATAAAAAAAAATTGATTAAAACTACTTTTACTGATTTTATCGTGTTTATTTTTACTTTTTATTTACTTTTATTTTTAATTCCCGACGTTTCGGGCGCTTTCCAGCACCCATGGTCACGAGGGACTGAGATGACTGACGTCCCGATGTCATTGTTAAACCCGGAGTACCTTCAACTTTTTTAATTATTGTTTATGGTCCGATCTATGCCAAATGAACTGACTATGTCCCGAGGTCTTGCAGTGGTATGCTTGGGTTTAGTTTTAATTTTATTGATTATAGGATCCCAAGCAGGTGGTAGTACCCAGCCTCCTTCTCTATTGAAATTAGGATGTTTTTTAATTTCAATAGCCTCACGTATCATCCTTGGTAGGAATCGGTGTTCTTTCGCGAGGATTTGTGGTCTATCAAATCTGATGTAATGGCTGGGTCCGTCTAGGATATGATCACAAACTGTAGACTTCCCGGAACGTTTCGGGAAGTCTGCAGTTTGTGGTGTTGGGTGGGTGCTGGAAATGGGTGGTGGGTGCTGGAAAGCGCCCGAAACGTCGGGAATTAAAAATAAAAGTAAATAAAAAGTAAAAATAAACGCGATAAAATCCGTAAAAGTAGTTTTAATCATGTATAGTGTTCGCGTAAATATAAGAAATCATTATAAAAAAAATTATTTGCAAATAGTATGTGGTTATATTATCGCTGCATTGGCCGAGGAGTAAGAGGATTGTCAAAGACCCCGCATTACCGATACTCGTGTGAGTTAGAGGAAATAAAACCACATACAATTTGCAAATTAACTTTTTTTAAATTAATACGAATTTTTTTAAATGTGTTTTTTATAATAAGACAATTAACGGGAACCACAGGGTTTTTGTTACATGTTGTATAGAGTTAAAGTGCAATATAATCTTGTACTGCACAGATGGCTAATCTCCGTCGAGTCTGGCCGCCATGACTTTAATTCCGTCTGGACATTATCTATACAAAAAAATAAAATTGAAGTGTCTGTCTGTAATGCAAAAAAAACATTTTTTTTCCTAAATGTATATTACACAGTACTTATAACAATAAAACAATTGTTAAAATTTTTGTCTGTATGTCTGTTTGTTCTGGCTAGTCTCTGAAATTAATGGACTTATTTTAACCGCGCAAATACCCAATTAACATCCAATCGTAATAAATTAAATAACATCTAAGTTATTAATATTATTTTTAAGGAAGATAATAAATTTCTTTACGGTTTCTAGAACAATCGCAGAGTGCAGAAGACAATCGTAAAATAGAATGGCCGAAGAAACTACCAATTAAAGATAGAAACAAAACATACAAGCAGTATACCAAAAAGGCAATGAGAATGGCCATTGATGCTGTCCGGAAAAAAGGGATGTCACGTAGCAAAGCATCAGAGATGTTTAAGGTGCCTAAGAAGACTCTAGGTACTAGGCTTAGACTTCAGAATATTACTGTCAAAAACGAGGGTAAGTCAACTTAAAAATGATAAAAACTTCCGAAACAGAGCTGATAACATTTAAAAGGTTGAACAGATTTAAGTGAAAATAACTAAAAACACTCGATTAAGAGGCCGTAAGCGATAAGGAGGGCGTTTTTTAAATGTGTGCTACCTCGGAACTTTTTTATAGGTGAACCGAGTTTGATGATTCTTATTTTTATTTGAAAGCAGGTGCTTCTCGTGTGGTCCCTTATAAATTTAATCAATATGTGACCAGTAGTTTTAGAGTTATTTAATAATGCGTATTTAATTGATTTCAACTACATTGATGATGTTCACATTGACCACTTGTTCAAGGGAAATATCGTAACGATGTGGGCAGATTATTTGCAGAGAAAGATGATTGTGCACTGCAGAGCAAATAATAATTTTTAACGACGGTTTTATTTTGAGCGAAGACGAAAATATGCGTCAGAGTTATCTTTCAGGTTGAATACAACCATTATCATAAGCTAAAATACTTTATTTTAAGTGTTATTACAATGGAATATACAGGGTTATTTCGCAATAATCGGACGAATTTGCAGAGAAGGTTCAGAATAAGTAATATAGACAAATGGTGAAGAAGATATAATAAAAAAAAATATCTGAAACATTCTATCGTTTTTATCTCTTAAATTCAAATAACTGATTTTACTACGCACGCACAAATTCGTAAGGGTCGATCGGTAGGCAAAAACGTTGTTGCCCAGAAATCACATACAATTTGGGATAGTATCAAATAAAATAGAAGCCTTTCGAAAACTGCAATAACGGTATATCATTGTTTATATATTAGAACTTGAGTTTAAAGTTTGGCTTCTCTTTGAAAATTTGCGACACCAGTCCTCGACGTCGTTTCGACAGTGGACCCAGTAAAACTGTTCTCGGATCTTCAGTAGAGTTCGTTTAACTCCCAGGTGGCCTCCTGAACAATCATTATGGTACAGCTGTAGAACATCCGGTACTTTAGCTTTAGGGACAACCATTTGCAAATGACAGCTGTCTCCCCCGAACATTTTCCCATTTACGGCACAGAACTCCATCCTGAATCAGCAAGCTGTCCCATTGGGCCCGCCCAATAGGACAGACGGGCCTTCATCCATTCCAAAATCGGCTTGATGTCCGGATCTTCCTGCTGTGCATGTTACTGAGGTGGTCTGTCCTGAGCATCCTCACGGATACCACTTCCTTACTCTCTTACCTGGTACAATGTGCCCAATCTTCAGGACAAGGTCTTCTTGACAATGCATCTGCGTTGCCATGAGATTTCCCGCTGCGATGTCTGATAGTAAAGTCGTGTCCCGGCTGCTGCTGGGCGGTGATGTTAGCCGCACTTCCCTTCTGAGATCGTTCACCTTCCCTTTCTAGGGTTCGCTTAGGGCAGCTGGATCGAAGATGGCCCCTTTCCCCACAGCCATAGCACCTAGGGCTGTATCCTTTATTGTGGTCGCGAACCGTAACTGCTGCAACCTCTCTAGCGCGAGGGGAACGACGATCCAGCCACCGCCAGGCGGTGCCGTTAGCTGCACTACCCTCTCGAGATTGATCAATTTCCCTTTCTACAGTTCGCTTAGGGCAGCTGGATCGAAGATGGCCCCTTTTCCCACAGCCATAGCACCTAGGGCTGTATTCTTTATTGCGGTCGCGAACTGTAGCTGCTGCAACCTCCCTGACGCGATGGGAACGATAATCCTACCGTACGGCTTCCACCTCCAGTGCATGGGCTAATGCGTTCTTAAGCGTCTCGTGGTGCCCGAGCCTCACAGCAGCTCTGACTTCCAGTTCGCGGATGCCGTCGATGAATGTCTGCACCAGGTTCCCTTCAATGAGCACAGGTACAGACCGGTTTGCTTTTCGCACCAGACACTGCGCGTGGTCTCCAGAGGTGGAAACCTCTAGAGACCACTGCTGCAGGTTTTCGTTGATGCGCTGCACGCGATCTTTAAGCTGCGCACGAAAGACGTGTTCCAGGTGAGCGTCGCCATATCTCGCCTCCAATGTCTCAAGGAGTTTCTCATAAGTCACTTCCTCACCGAGAGCTTCCAGAACTGTTAAGGCCTGGTCGCGCAGGCCTAGTGTGAGAGCAGTCATGGCCTGACTTTTATTCCAGCCGTTCGCCTTCATAACAGCCTCAAACTGGATTTTGTAGGCTGACCAGGAAGAAGTCCCGTCGAAAGGTGGCACTTTGAACCCACGTAGCGAAGGTGTAGTAGCTACTACGGGAGCTGTAGTTCCATTCCCCAGTTTGAGGTCGTCCAGCGTTTTCTTCACGTCAGCCATCACGTAATCAATCCGATTGTTCACTTGGTCGATTTGGGTTTTAGCTTCCTTGATTTGGGTTTCAGCTTCCGACAGGCGGTTTTCATGTAGAGCAACCCTATCCTTCACCTCCCTTATCTCTTTCCCAAAGGTAGCATGAAGGTCCTTCATGAGGAGTATTTGCTCTTCCGACCGACGAGCCTGTTCCGCCTGCTGATCTTCCAACCGACGGGCCTGTTCCTCCTGTCGGCGGGTCTGTTCCTCATGTCGGCGAGCCTGTTCATCCTGTCCGCCCCGCAGCTGCTCTTCCAACCGACGGACCTGTTCCTCCTGTCGGCGAGCCTGTTCCTCCTGTCGGTGAGCCTGTTCCTGCAGCGTCACCATCAGAGCACCTAAGTCGGGTGCTGCAGATGTAGGAGCTACTGACCGGCCTGCAGCCGGTGGCTGGCCCTCCGACGTCTGCGGCGTTGCACCACCAAATCTTCTTTGGTCCGTCTCCTGCTGGCGTTGACTTCGGGTGCGGACACCCTCCGTTTCCTCCTTAGGTAAAATCGGCATGATTTTATCCCATTTCTGACACCAATTGTTACGAACTTCAGGTTCGTGACAATAAAAACTGCCGATTGAATTACCAAAATTTACACTTTAATTCACTTTACACTAATTAAAACTTAAAACACTAATAATTAACCACACTGATTCACTTTATTTCGCTCCGAAGCTTCGCTTGTCTCGCCAAATTCAATACTTCCCCGATCGCATCTTGCAGCGCCTTTAAATACACATTAGCACTGAAATATCCAGAATATTCAGGTAAATACGCGCGCCAATCGACTAGGCGCCGAAAGTTCGAGTGTCGGGCTTCTAGAAAGCTTAGTTCTTCATTTCGATACTAGATGGCTCTGTCGGTTGAAAGATTAGTGATGTCATTTTCTGGAAAGCTCTCCTCGCTCCGTTACCCAACACAGATGGCGCTAGTGCCAGATGTCAACTTAGGCGCGCAACAGTACACTAGCTGGTGCCCGCGACTTCGTCTGTGCAGGATTAGTATTTCGAGTAGCATGTATTAGCGTGCTGTAGAAAAAAATAACATTATGACTTTAAAATTATCACATTAATAATTTTTGAGTCCAGTAGACCATATCGGCCGTGCGTCTGACTGTCCGCACCGTTTGCCCGCCACAGCCGGGGGTGCCGCGCCATATTCTAACTCTAGCGGTTTTGGCAGCGCACGTCAGAATAGCGCGCAGTTGATCTAAGAATCTCCTAGGTGTGAGTTGTTTGTGTTTAGCAGTGAGCACATACAACCGCCGGTACGACATACTCCGCCGATCGTCGAGTCCGTTGATTCCGTGAGGCGTCGAGGTCACCGGCCCCTAGGCAGATTCTTGGCACTTTAAGACGCTCGTGTCTATTGTGCCTAGTCGCGTGCTTAAAGTGCCACCACCGCACTTCCACCAGTTGCCTCGATCGGCTGGTTATTAGATAGGGCCTTATAGCTGATTACCGCTGACTGTTAGGTAGGGACCAACATGTCAGATAAAGATAAGGGGGAGCCTCGCCCTAAATCAAGAAAACCACCAGACCGCCCTGGCGTATTGGAGAGGTCAATCGCCTACAGGGATATCTTTAACCCAGAGAGGATGAGAGTAGTATCATCCTACTCGCAAATCCCGACCCGGAAGCCTTCGTCGCCGGGTAAGGAGCCCGCATCGAGGGCCGCGCTCTCGCCCATCGTACCTGAGCGTACGAGCCGCGCCCCGCGGGTAAAAACGCCAAGAAGGCACACACCACTAGAAACCGATGCCTCCCTCCATGAGAAGAGGCAGCGCATCGGTTCCCAAGTATCATCAGCATCACCATCACCAGCATCATCGGATGATGAGGAGCCCCAACCTGCGACTAGGAAGAAGGTCCATACCTCACCTCCTAAATCGCCATCACCGCCACAACAACCACCATCCATCTCTCCGGACCGGCGCAGTCATGACTCGGCCCAATACGAGCAAGGAGGTGAGGAATCCTACAGCTGGGGCTCTACAACGTACGCAACCCTAGCTGCATCCGCCGGAAGGTCATCCCCGGTGCAGACTACCAACCCGTCCGGGTTAGCTCAAGATGACGGACAGCGGCCGTCAACGAGCTATGCCCACATGGCTGCGGCCCCCGCAATACTACGACCGCAATCGGCGGAGGAGCCTCAGAGAACTGAAAAAGAGAAAGAAGGTTTCTCCTTCTTTCAGTAAGATACCCGCCGATTGTCGCTGAATGCCTCCCGGACTGGACTAGGCATTTCGAGGAATTGAATAGAAAATTGGGCCACCCTCCTAATGCCCGTCCGTTCGGGAAGGGTGTAAGATTCGCACCCCAGAGTCCGGAGGAGTTTCGTACCATACAAAGATATACGGTCGAACTCTCCGAAAAATTACCAATCATGTCGTGGTATTGTTATACCCCGGCAGAAGAGAAGCCCACTAAAGTGGACATCCGGGGCCTGCTAGTGGGCACGGATCCCAAAATTATTGAGGAGGCTATCCGGGCAAAAGGCTTTCCCATCACCTACGTGAAGGCCATACCACCACGTAGAGGCAGACCGGGCTGCCTCTACTATGCACAGCTGGAGCATCTGAGCCTGGAGCGGCTACAAGACCTCTACAGGATCGACGAGCTCCTCTACATGAGAGGAGTCATCATCGAAGCCTGGCAGAGAAAAACGGAACCGGCACAATGCCACCGTTGCC